GACCCTAAGATCAAACACGGTAAGGGGAGAAATAATGAGCAACATGCTCAGCAGGACCCAACTCTGTGACTATTAACCAGGAACCAAGTTCGCACTTCTGTTGGTGTGGTACAATAGATTGTACAGCATCCCCCAAATTAAATTATATTCACAGTAAGGCTGTTTATCAGCAGCAGCAAAGCCATGTGAAACTTATGAAGTCAGAGAGGACAAGGTGGCTGTAAAAACAAAGGGACCATGAACAAGGGTAGCATCATATGAAGCCAGAAACATGTGACACTGAACCAAAGCCTCTACACTGCTTCTACGAGGTGGTGGGCAGACACAACCTGAAGGCTTTTGAGGTTGTGAGATAATTGTCAGCTTTACCCTCTTTCTGTTCAGACAGCTCCTCTCCAAGAAGCTGACAGTGTCATCCAAAGATAATAGGACGCTGCTACTGCTACATTTTTGGACTGGAAAACCGCTGAGTGACATTCTGATAATCCAAACAAAAGGTCATTCTGGGAGCTAAGAGGATGGACTATATGGCAAAGATAGCCCATCCAGAAGCTTTCACCTCATTCCTATACATGAAAAACCTCTCAAAATCAAAACACTATCTTGTGTCATACAGGGACAATTTCAAACAATACTTAATTTTGAACATAGGTTAATCTATAACAGGAAGATGTTCAGTAACAGTAAAGAGGAGACTGGCACAGGCAGCGTCACTGAGATGTCTCAGAGCCCCAAGAGCTAGAGGGAATTATGTAAGTCTCACATTATACTGGGTCACCAAGTCATTTTTGATATGCACTATTACTGTGGTGCTGCTATGCAAAACAGTTATTATGATGAGATTTGATACTTCTTCATATTTTTTTGCTTATTGTTGTAAAGTGGTTGAAGTTTTACCTGTATACTGTTATTTCCTTTAAAGACCTGAGAAGACCCATAACCTGTGTGGGTACTGCTGCCTTCTAAAGGGAAAGCACACCGCTACATAAAAATCTTTGATACGTGGGGAATTCCAAACAACAGCAGAGTGACGATGTGATCTGGAGAAAAAAATATGGAGATGCTCCATAAATAGTGACTGAATGAACAACTGCTCCAATGCTATATAAGAGTCAGCAGCCATGATGGTTTCATTAGCTCTGCCAAGGCGGAAGTAATGTTTTCACTGCATGGCATTTGGTTTTCTTATTGGTCTGTTCACGGCATAGTTCAAAAAGTAATGAAAGGATTTTGATTAACGTTTCTGGAGAGGTAGGGTATGGCCCATGGAACAATCCATTAAATTCTGATGATGACCCAGTTAATCATCCAGATCCAGGAATTTTTTTAAAGGATTCTTCACCACTGTGAGATAGGGCAGATTTCAGTACTCTTGGCTTATCTCCATAAGCAATGTCTAAAATGTTTGGACAAAAACTGCACAATAACATCCACATAGGATCAGGTAATCAAGAACGCTCACATTTAGATGGCTCATGTAACAAGACAACAAATGATGATGCGGATTTACAACTATGACCACAATAAATAGCGTCAACAGATCTGACAGAGCTTCAAAGGTTACTGAGCTAGATCCTGAAGAAAACCACCATCAGTGAAATGTGTTTTTTCCTGAGTAACCCTCAAAATAATACTGATATGAATGTGATTCCAAATGCTAGGGTTAGGTTTTCATGGTCAAGAATTCATATTATGATGGTCAAACTATTGTGGGAATATTGCTTTTAGGTGTAATAGCATTATGGGGACAGAGAGCACCTTGGCAGTGGTTTATGGTCTCTGAGTGCTGTTTGTTTTTTCTGATTAGATCCATGCTACAAAGGTCTACACTCTTTTATTAAAGACTAACCTTTTACTCAGCACAAGTCAATCTTATGCCCTGCTGGCAATGAACTGGAGAAAGGAATGCATCATTCATGGGGGTGGAGTGGCTTTACAAAACATCAGAGCAAGCATGGACAAACATAATCGTGTATTTAGCCTTCAGGTCTGTTGATAAAAGCAGCAACCGCCAGGGCAGGTAGGCCTACTGCACAACATGGACTCATTGTTTCTCTGGTCGTGTCGAATTACAGCCAATTCAGGACAAAACCCAGTCTGTCCCAAGGCACAGAGCGGTAAGAAACTCTGGCAAGGTGTTATT